GAGAATGAGAAAAAGAAAGAGAGAAGGAGAAGGAGAAGAAGGAGAAGGAGAAGGAGAAAGAGAAAGAGAAAGAGAAAGAGAAAGAGAAAGAGAAAGAGAAAGAGAAAGAGAAAGAGAAAGAGAAAGAGAAAGAGAAAGAGGAAGAGGAAGAGGAAGAGAAAGAGAAAGAGAAAAGAGAAACATTGATTGGTTGCATCCTGTAGGTGCCCTGCCTGGGGTTTGAACTCACAGCCTAAGTATGTGGCCTGACCCAGAATTGAACCTGCAACCTCTTGGTACAGAGTGTAATTTTTGCTTAAGCCCCAGCAAATCATTCAAAAATAGGGAGATGTATGCCAATACCTACAGATGTCATAACATCCTTGATTCCTGTTACATTAATAGGAAAATTAGGTAGGTAGATAACAATAGAGGAGGTTTTTGTGCGTGTTTTTTTAAATTTTGGGTTAACAGTATTTTTATTTTATTTTAATTTTGGCCAAATGTTGTAAAACTCATATCAAACACACGAACACACACCTCCTCATTTTTGCTCTATCTGGAGATTTACATGATATTTGTACTTTTTATTATTATTATTATTATTATTGGAGATGTGAACATGACTGACCAGCCTCTAGGATTTCCCATGAGGCAAAGATAAATTACTTGAGTTGCTACCATTATTTCTTCCCTCAGCATGAAATCCAAATGTGGTCAGTAGGTTTTTAAGAGTATAGTTCTAAAGACACAGGCACCGAAGTCTTTTTAGAGAGACGCTATATTTTTAATCTAGTAAATGTTTTCTTTGCTAACATAGCTCCCACTTCCTACCCTCCCACAAAACCTACCCGTGAGTTTCTCATGGGTCTCTTGAAAAATATGGCATAGCAGCTTGCTTCTTTGAAGTCCTGATTATAGGGGCTGAAAAAACTATTGCTAGACTATTCTATATCTTTTTTCTGAGCCACAATAGTTACTGGCATTGTTTCTGGGTCTGCTCTGCCTTATATTTGAAAGTCTGCAGGAAGAAGGAGTTGGTGAGGTCTGAGCAAAGTATCCCCTGCTTCCCTGCCCCTCCATTTTCTTCCTATTTCTCCACTTAGACTAAAGTTCTGGTAGACATGGATCCTCTCATGGGTGTGACTGGCAAATGCAATTGGACTCATGAAATAATATATATGCATATAATGTGGAAAATACTGGATTTAGGAGAAACACCAGAACTGGTTCCTGTCCTTGTTTTACAGCCAACTATCTATGAAACCTGGTGTGCCATTTGGATTTTTGGACCTCGGTTTCCCTCCTATAAAATGACTGGGCAAAGATTGCTGGTGGTTATATTAAATCCTAATGTCTGTGGTATTAGGCCAATAGAAAAAGGAATGAAGTAGGCTGAGCAGTGCATGTCCTTCTCCTGGGTGGCCTTTACCTCTCCAGCCAATTCTATCTCCGATGCTATAGGAAAATGTGAGCCCAGAGATACAAGATTGCCCCAGTTTTTTGTTCCCCAAGAGAAAACTGAAACCCATAAATTGCAATTTCTAAGTGAAATATCTTGGGTTTCCAGATGTTGGAAATTAGTATTAGGTGGAATAGACATGTCAATGGGCCAAATATGGCTCCCCGAAGGAAAGGTTACAGCCTTCTGAACAAAATTTTCTCAGACTATTACCTAAACAGTTTCCTAACACAAGTATTCAAATATAACATGTGTATACACACACACACACACACACACACACACACACACACACATCATATTTGATCCAAAATAGCTAAAACGATCCTGAGAAAGAAAAGAAAACTGGTAGTGTCACATTTTCTAATTTCAAACTAGATTACAAAGTAAGAATAATCAAAACGGTATAGTATTGGCATAAAAAAGACACATAGATCAATGTAATAGAGAGTCCAGAAATAGGGTTAATTAATTTATGATAAAGGATATTACAATATGCAATGGGGAAAGAATAGTCTGTTTAAAAATAACGCTGGGAAAACTGATTGGCCATTTGTAAAAAAATAAAACTGGACCTTTTTCTTATAATATACACAACATCAACTAAAAATGGGTTAAAGATTTGATTGTAAGACCTGAAATCATAAAGCTCCTACAAGAAAACATAGGGGACAAGTTTTTCAACATTGGTCTTAGAAATAACTTTCTGGATTTAGCATCAAAGGAAAAGGCAACAAAAGCAAAAATAAACAAGTGGGACTAAATTAAACTAGAGAAGTTTTGCTCTGCAGAGGATACCATCAACAAAAACGAAAAGGCAAGCTATGGAATGGGAGAAAATATTTGTAAATCACATATCTGATAAAGAGTTAATATCCAAAATATACAAGCAATTCAAACAATTAGATAGAAAAATGCACACGGCAAAACCCACAGATAACCCAATTTAAAAACTGGGCAGAGAATCTGAATAGACATTTTTCTAAAGGAGACATACAAATGTCCAACAGATACATAAAAAAGTGCTCTTCATCACTAATCATCAGGAAACTATAAATCAAAACCACAATGAGATATATTTCCATTGTTATGAAAGCCATTCTCAAATAGACAAGAGATTAAAAATGCTAGCAAGGATGCGGTGGGGAAAGAACCATTGTAACTACTGATGGGAATGTAAACTGGTACAGCCACTATGGACAATAGAATGAAGGTTTTCAAGAAATTAAAAATAAAACAACTGACTGATCTGGCACTCCCACTTCTGGATATATATCCAAAGGAAACAACATCTTTATGTGGAAAAGATAGCTATAACCCCATGACCAATGCACTGTTAACAATAGTCAAGGTATGGAAACAAGCCATGTGTCCATCAACAGATGAATGGTTCAATAAAATGTGGATCAAGAAAATATACAAAGTGACCAGATTATTATGGTCTCTGAACACATAATAATCTGGCCACTCAGTGCATGTATGCATATATATATATATGAGGTCCGGTACATGAATTTATGCATGGGTGGGGTCCAGCCAGCCTGGCCAGAGGTAGGGGACATGGGTGGTTGGCTGGCCTGCTTGCTGGTCAAATTCCTGGTTGAGGGGACTATTTGCATATTAACCTTTTATTACATAGGATATACATTGAGTGGCCAGATTATTATGTTTTCAGAGATCATAATAATCCAGCCACTCAGTGTATATACAATAGAATATTATTCAGCTTTAAAAGAGAAGAAATAATTCTGCCATTTGCCATAAATGGGAGTACCAGACAGGCATTATGATAAGTTAAATATCACTTATATGTAGAATCTTTTTTAAAAAGGTAGAAATCAAAACAGAGAATAGAAATGTGATTGTCAGACAGAGATGGGGAAGGAGAAGTTGGTAAAGGGTATAATTCTTTAGAAATAAGATGAATAAGGCTGAGGATCTAATCTATAACATGATGATGATAGAATTCTATTGTATAATTGAAATCTGCAAAGAGATTAGAACTTCAATGTTCTCCTCCTGATAAAAGTAAATATGTAAGGTGATGGATTTCTTAATTATGCCGGAAGTGAATAATTTCACAATGTTTATATATATATATCAAATCATCATGTTGTAAATTTTAAATATCCTTAAATTTTGTCAATTTTACCTCAGTGAAGTTGAAAAACATTCTTTACTGTTACATAAAGTAACCACTGCTGTTCAAAATCATCATGTGTATGAGCTATTTGTGTTGGTCAATTAGATAGACCTCTTTCCAACAATTGCCTTGGTAAGAATATAAGAAGTAAGGACAGTCATGATATCCTGATCATGGGAGTTCAAATAACTCACACAGTGAGATGAAAAACATTCTCAATATTTAAATTTTAACTAGATGTACATATTTCAGGTCTTTGTTTCTCATTGTATGTATTAGAAACTAAAGTGAGAGTTTTTCTTTTTTCTCTCTCTAAAGTGTGGTTAAAGTCACTACCAGCAGGTCCCTAAATGACTTCATCACATTGCATTGGGTTTATGAGAAATAGTAGTTAAAAAACATATTGACTATCTACAATCAATAAAACAAGATGCATGCAGGAAGGCTCACCTCCCATCAAGCTGCTGAAGAGGTACAAATCTTTAGTAATAAGAGCATTTGGTACAAGCATACATGATCACACTACTACAAGTCACATCCCTCTCAACTAGTTTGAGACCTCTACGTAACGCATCACCAAATGCCCGTTTACACTTCGCTATACAGCTGAGGTAGCAAAACATTTCTAAGTTACCATAGAAAAACGAACTACTTGCACACACTCCAAGATATTTTTCCAAGTGAGTACACAGGTTCAGGAATTTTTACAACAGTGGTCCCCAAACTTTGGGATGTCATCACCATTCAATTTCAAAAAAAATTTGCAGCAGCTGACATTTAAACTCATTTTTTTAACCAACAGAAGAGTTACAACAAAACAAAATAAAAAGCACAAAAAAAAGACCCAGCAACCAGTTTCTATCTCTCATCCCCAAATTTCATACAAATAAAATGGCATTTCAAGACAACAATAATAGAAAGAACATATTCTCAAAATGAAGAATCATCCCTCAAGTGGAATACAATTAACTTTATTAAAAACTTACCGCATTATCCTGATTTTTTTTTCCTTTTCAGCAGAGCCACATAAACTGTTTCAGAATGCAGGAACCACTCACCGTATTATTCCATCTAACGCTCTACAGTCACATACTCCTTAAGAGAGACATCACGATAAATGCGATGTGCTCTTATTGTACTAAGTTCTCTTTCAAATGAACATGCTTATTTTGCCTTTTTAACTAGAAACCCCATAGAAGATTCCCCACAGACCTTTACCTTCATGACTAAATGTGTCTTGCCCTACATTTTCGGCTCTTGGGGTTGGGGGATGGAAATCAGAATTTCCATATGGATTCTCCCCTAAAAGGCCACCCAGCACTTGAGAATCTGACTATATAAGAAAGTGATGCTCGCACCACCTTGTGGGGTTGGGGGTGGGGAGAGATCCCCCACTCTGGAGGCAGAGGACGTTACCTTTGCAATGCACATGGAGGGCTCGGACAAGCGAGGGTAGGTGTAGGAGTTGTACGAGTGTCCCTGGGGGTGGGTTTTAAATGCACTTGCTCCGAAGGGCATCATCGGCTCCTGGAGCCCCGAGCCCGACCTGGACCTCTGCCGCATGGCGGGCTGCGGGCTGGTCTGGTTCAGGTAGGATGACTTGGGCCTCCGGTCGTAGTCCTCCAGGCTGGGCCCCCACTCGCTCTCGCTGTAGGCCAGGCTCTCCTTGGAGCAGCCGCCGGTCCCTGCAGTTCTGGAAGGCGTACACTGGAACGGGTAATCCAGAGGCGAGCTGCTCGAGGCTCTCTGGAACTCCCAACACTTGAGGTCACTGTAGTCCCCGGGTTTGCTCAGTGCGTCCAGGTGTGAGTGGTAATCGATGGGGAACCTGGCCAGGTCGGATTTCAGGGGCCTCATGTCAGAGTAGTAGGCGTCCCCGTGCTTCATCTTCATCACGTGCCCATTCTGCTTGGCCGCGTGGCTGCCTTTGTAAAACGGGTCCAGGTCGTCCCCATAGAGACCCCGGTCCCGGTGCTTGTCTGCGGGGTAGTCGGCGGTGGTGTCGGACTCGCTGGAATACTGCGAGAAGGTGAGGAAGCCGTTCTCCTCCCGGTGGCCGGGGCCCGAGGCGCCCTGCTCCGGGGTGGGCGGGCTCTCCTTCCTTAGGGAGTTGGAGCGGGTCACCGAGAGGTTGTCGAAATCCTCCAGGAGGCCGTTGATGGAGGATTCCTGGCAGGGTTTGTTTCCTCGGACGATTGTCTGGGAATAATAAAAGGGAATGCTGTTTAAAGCAAACGATCGATGCAGGAATCCCATGCCCATCCCATCCAATTAAACCGGAGGAAAACGGACACCAGAGGAACATTTCATTTAAAAATGATTTAAAGCCCTAGCCGGGTTGGCTCAGTGGATAGAGCATTGGCCTGAGGACCAAAGGGTCCCGGGTTTGATTCCAGTCAAGGATACATACTTTGGTTGCAGGCTCCTCCCCGGCACTGGCCCTGGTCTGGGTGCATGCAGGAGGCACCCAGTCTATGTGTTTCTCTCACATCGATGTTTCTCTCTGTCTTTCCCTCTCTCTTCTACTCTCCGTAAAAATCAATAGAAAAATATCCTCAGGTGAGGACTAACAAAACAAACAAACAAACAAACAAACAAAAAATAAAAACAACCACCAAAATACTGTTGATTGACTTTAGTGGTGAAGTAAATAAAATATTTAAATAACAATCTCAAATTGCAAAACTTTCCTTACCTATCTCAATAGAGAGATCAAGTAAACATCCAAAACTATTATATTTAGTGTGGGGGGGGGGGGTGGAGGGGGGAGATTGGGACATTTGCAATAGTGTCAACAATAAGAATAAAGGGGGAAAATGGAAAAGAAAGCCTTTTAGAAGATTATTTTTGGCTATCATTGTCTTATTTATCAGTTCATGGGAAATCCCTCTGCTTAATAATCAACCCTCACCACGTAACAATAACCTGGTGTTATCATTTTAACAGTCTATAACTGTTTGGTTGTAACAGTCTATAACTGTTTTATTATGCTCTTATATTCATTAACCAGATTATTTGCAAACCTAGTAAACTTTGTTACTTGAATATTATTAACACACCCAGAAATGTTTGAACTTTTTGTTTTTTACCTTTCATGGGAGATGCATAACAATTAAAGTTATCAGATTTTCTAGAAGAAAACAGAACTTTCTGAACTGTAAACAGGGAGCAGCATGAAAATTACTCGTGTGATTTAATTCATGATCAAATGTGATATTTTATTAAGTATATCACTGCAATACTTATTATGGCCACAATTCATGTAGCATCATCACTGAAATTGGAGGGCTTGGCAATGAGGTAGGCACACCTGAATCGGTGACAAATTGTCAAGTCCTCATGCTCCCTTTAATGGAACCTAAATAGAACTGGAATGACAGAAACAGAAGGAAGTCACAAACCACTTACAAAGCCAGTGGGCTGCAGCTTGATGATGACAAGTTTGCAGCAAAATATGTTGGGGGCGGACAAAAGAACAAAGAACGAAGTGTCGTGACTTCAGATTTCCAGGATTTTAAGATAAAAATGTCTTTGAGCAAATTGCAAGGAATTCAACACAATTAGTACAATAGAAAGAAGATTTTAAACTGGGGGGAAAGCCAAAGTCATCCTGGAAAATGTTTTCCTAGATCAGTGCTTATAAAACTGTACATAGTGGCCCAGCCATTATGGCTCAGTGGTTGAGCATTGACCTTTGAACCAGGAGGTCATGGTCAATTCCCAGTCAGGGCACATACCCGGTTGCATGCTTGATCCCCAGTGTCGGGCATGGAGGAGGCAGCAGATAAAAGATACTTTTTCATTATTGATGTTTCTAGCTCTCTCTTCCTCACCCTTGCTCTCTGAAATGGACATATTTCACTATGGATATATAGTAAAGATAAGGTCTTGTCCCATTCTCCAAATTAGCCCTGGACTAATATTTTTGGTCTCTACCATTTTCCTTTGAATAAATTTTTAATTTTTAATAGTTTTAGATTAACAGAAGTTGGTTTTGGGGAGGAAGACCACAAAGAAAAGAACCAATTTCATTACATCATATCCAGGGTACACACCACCAACATGATTTAGCACTGATGATGTTGACCTTGATCACCTGGCTGAGGTAGTGTCTGCCAGGTTTCCATACTGTGAAGTTACATTATCCCACACCCTTCCATATTTCAGTCTTTGGAAGTAAGACATTTAGTGCAGCTCACACTCTAGGGCAGTGGTCATTAAACTCATTAGTCAACAGAGCCACTGCTCTAGGGAAGCGGAGCCAAGCCCTTAAGAGGGGGGTATTTTGAATTCTTATGCACAGGGGGCTTATCTGTTCTCCATGTTTGCTTATTTATTCAATCATTTATCTGATTAGTATGAATGGAATCATGGATACTTATACTTTGGGTTATAATCCAATGCTATGCTATTTGTGTTGTTGCTCAAATGATTCCATCTGTGGTTATTGAGAGTTCTTTAAGGCTGGCTGCTGTGTCACTTTGACAAGCCTCCCCATCCTTTACTTTTTCTGAATACTTCTTACTTTCTGGCACTATAAAATTCTCCAGGCTTCCCTTGTATTATCCCTGCTTTGCCCTAGAATCACCCATTTTCCCAAGGAGCCTTGTTATTGGAGAATGATATTAGAAACTAGAATCTGGGTGCTGGGTGTGCTCATTGCTACTGGGGTGTCATAGCTTCCTGGCCCTCTCATGAACATGATGAGGAGCTGTATACATGTATACTTACACAGGTAAATTCACACTTCTATATTAAGCTGAACATGAATTTATACTATTATCTCTGAACCTAATCTAGTACCACATGGTTCATTCTAGCTTTCCCCTTATCTGTAACTGCCCCCTCCTTCCAATTCTGTGACAGTGAAAAACCTGGATCGACCTCACCATCTATTATTCATTTACTTAGTCAATCCCAGTTTCAGAATATTGACCCATACCATCATGGGAAACAAGTTAGCCAACCAGAGTATAGTTCTTATATAGGGTTCTTTTTTACTTTAGTCTTAAGTTTTCATTCAAAGCATTGTTTTCCAAAGTTACTTCCCCCCCACTCCCCACACTCCCTTTAATGAGATTATGCCTGTCAGATATACATAATAGATTTTTTTTTGGTTAGTCTGCATTCCATCCTGGGGTCCTCTGATCTCCTGGTTGACTTAAAAAATGCATACATCAGTGCACTCTTTGTGCTGGAAAGTTCTATGGGTATTGACAAACACAAAGCACCATGCATTCACCATTACAGTGCCATACAGATTAGTTCCCCTGCTGACCCCAAATCTCCTGAGCTTCTCTTCGTCAGACACTACCTTCTAAGCCGCTGGTATCACTAGTCTTTTGTTGCATCCTTATTGTTTTGCCTCTCTGGAATATTATACGAATGAAATTACACACTCTGGAGACTTTTGGTCTGCTTTTTTTCATTTAGCACAGTGGTCAGCAAACTGTGGCTCTCGAGCCACATTCGGTTTGTGAGCTGAGGTTTGCCACTTTGTTGACAATGAGTTTGCCAACCACTGACTTAGCATAAGACATTTGAGGTTTATCCAGGTTTTTCTGTAAATTAATAGCATATTTTTTTCATGATTACCTTTAATCACTGAACAGTGTTCCATTATATATGTTGTGATTGTATGTGGAAGAGAATAAATTGATTGGCTGATTGTCAAAGTTGGCGCCTCCCCCCAGACAAAGAATGATATTATATATATATATATATATATATATATATATATATATATATATATATTTTTTTTTTCCCTCAGAGCAGCAATGTCTTTATGCCCACTCCAACAGATGAATGTGGAGGAATAATACATGTGAATAGGGAGGAGTGAGCACTCAGGAAAGAGAAAAGATGAAATGGACATCTTTTAATGCATTAAATATGAATGCTAATAAGTCACTCTCAAAAATATGTCTATTTGAGCAGCTTCCTATGGCATTTCAGGTGTATTTTACCGGTTTATAACTTCTCTTTCTATTTGTTCAGGACTCGCTCCAAATCCTCTTAGACATATGTACTGTTATTCTCTGTGGATTTAAACTGTTGGTCTCCTCTTCGCTATTATTTGCAGGAATTTTTAAGAAGATAGCATCAGTTTGTTTATATCATAGCTTATCAACTAAAAGTAGTTTTAGCCAGAATTCTGGATAGAAATTACCCTGTGCATATTCTTATTCTCTCTTATGAACAATAGGCAGGTTACTCAAAGAAAATGATATAAGAAATTCATGGTAGCTTTCTGGTATTTTTCATCCCAGCATCTGTGTTGACTGATGGGCCACATGAATAATGACTGTAAGGTATGCCAAGGTCTTCAAGTATCTTCTGAATGATCAGACCTACTTGGAAAAATCTTTCTGCAAAAAATATTATCTAGACTTATTCTGAACTTGCCAAATAATAATTAATTATATTAGAATTTTTCATATTTAATGTTATCTTTGAGTCTATATCCTAGGGAGAGGATCATTTCTCTAAATGCTATCTGTCTCAACATTTCAATTAATCTTTTCTATCTACCTTCATGCTTCCCGCCTCTAAATATATGAAGTATTCAGGTTTAGGACCATAGAATCATTTCCAGTATCTTAATGTTGGAAGGAATCTAGAGATCATCTAGGTCAGTGGTCAGCAAACTCATTAATCAACAGAGCCAAAAATCAATGTTATTTCTTTTGAGAGCCAAATTTTGAAAACTTAAACTTCTTTTAATGCCACTTCTTCAAAAGAGACTCGCCCAAGCCATGGTATTTTGTGGAAGAGCCACACTCAAGGGGCCAAAGAGCCTCCTGTGGCTCACGAGTCGCAGTTTGCTGACCAAGGATCTAGTTCATCTTCTCCTTTTACTAAGCAAAACTGACTCAGTTGACTTTGCCAACTGGTATGACACAGATCTGGGATTGAAATCCAAGTTCCCTTTCTCTCAGTCTATCTTTCTTTCCAAAGTACTCTTCAGACTCTTGAGCTAAACAAATTAGCATCAGTTGACAATGCAAAGGTTTGATGTGTATATATTCAATACTACTCAATAGATCTAAAACAATGAAATACTTTCAAATTATGTTTAACACTGTTATCCTTTTTAAAATGTAATATCTGAGTCACAAAAATTAACAAAGTTAGATTCTCAATATTGAAACTAAATTATATATATATATACACCAATATATATAAATTATATATATACA